GATGGGAGAAGTTCCCTGCGGTCCGCTCCGTGCCACAATCTTTACCTTCCTGCCACACAGGGCATATGCTGACCCTTTTAAGGCACCCAAAAGCCCCATCCGTCATGTGTCAGGCTCAAAGGCTATCTCATGATTTTCATCTGGGGCAGATGTGGACGAGATGCCCCTTGAGCCAGGGACCTATAAACAAAAAGTAAACTTTCTGCTCCTCCCCAACATAGAATTTTGGGACGGGCCAGGATAAGAACAATGAACTCTCTCATTTGAAAAAGGGGGTGGGAGACACGGGGCAGACGCTGACTAGTTCCTGGCAATTTTGTAATTCAGGCAATAACATGTTGCTGAATCTCCTTTTGCGGGGAGCGTTTGTGCCTTTTTTAGGGCCCCATTTTTCCTGGGAGTAGCATTCTTGCCCATTTTTTCTTTTGTCTCAGACTTTGGCTCTACCCCTGAGCTCTTTTCTCTGTCTCTATATTTTGAGACATCAAATGACCCATATTCGCAATTGAGTAGCTTTCTCAGGTTGCTTACTTGGCCCGTAGAAATTTGGGAACCCAAACGCCTCCTTTTCATTTTGAACTGACTTAGTCCTGCTTCATTCAAACTCCCTGGAAAATCCTGTGGGTTTAGTGTGGCCAGTTAGCTCAGTCTGGTTGGAGCGTGGCGTTATAACACCAAGATCAAGGGTTCCGATCCCCATACCAGCCAGCAGCATAATAAAACAAACGGAAAAAACGTCACCGGTTTCCTATGCAGAAGACTACAGTCTACTTCGTTAGACAAAAACAAATTTTTTTTTCAAATCAGTATGTTCTGTTTTGTGTGGTGTGTGTTAGGTTGCTGTAGGACAGGATCCTTTAGATCCTTAGAAACCCTTTTGTCTAGCTGAGAGGGTTTGTACTAGATACTATTGTAAATTTTTCTGAGGCCTTAACAAAGGGTGTTATGACCACAACCTTGATTTTATCTTTACCCTGAGGGCAATTATTACTTTAAGGTTCTTTTGCTGACTGGAGAGACAAGATGTGAAACGGGTTCATTTCTCAAACCAGTACAAGCTCCAGCTGTTCGTATTTGCTCTAAAGTTCGCTTGCAAATGGGACATCTCCGTCTGGCTTGTGTCACTCTTGCAGACCTTACCTGTGCAATTAGAAGCATTCAACTGATGTTTTCAACACTGTCTGGAGCTCTTCTTAGCCACATTTGCTTTCTAATTGCCCCCTTAACTGAAGGCAGTGTTTCCTCAGCCCTGCCTGGCGTGGCCCTCTCCCCAGGCTCTGCTGGCGGTTTTCCTACAATTCCCAGCCCCCACCCCACACTGCCTGGGCTCAGAGTCAGCACGTGCGTCTCCCTCAGCACTGCCTTAGCCCAGGCTGCGGGAACAAAACCCCAGACTGAGTAGTTGAATAGCTGATGTTGACGAGGGGTCTTTGAAAAGTTCACGGAAAATGCGTATTATGAAAAAACTGGGCATGGATTTCAAAATTTTTTCGCACCAAAATACACTCGTACTAAGTTGTTATGACACGTGTGAGCAAGATACTCACTGAAGCAAGAACAAACATCAAATTTGTGGTGACGCTTGGGTGGAAGTGTGGTGAAATCACTGACGATCACAAGAAGTTTATGGGGACAGTGCCCCAGAGTCATCAGCGCTTTACAAATGGACAGCTCGTGTCAAGCAGGAACGAGACAGCGTTGAAGACGAAGCCCACAGCGGCAGCCCAGCCACGTCGGCTTCTGAGGACACACGAGTCCTGTCCGTGTCCTAGTTGCAGAGGACTGACGAGTGAGAGCAGAAACAAGAGCCACCACCACAAACATCTCAGTGGGTTCAGCTGACACGATTCTGACTGAAGCATGACAGTTGAGCAAACTTTCTGCTCCGCAGGTGCCCAAACTGCTGCACCCAGACCCCTGCAGACGAGCGCGGAGCTGTCAGTGGGACCCGTGAACAAGGGGGGTCGCGATGCTGAAGCATTATTTTGAAGAACCGTAACGGGAGATGACACAGGGCTTGCCAGGACGGTGCTGAAGACAAAGCACAGTCAGAGCCGCGGCCACCAGCAGGTGGAAGTGCTCCAGTCAAAGCAGAAGCGGACGGCCAGGAGCGCAGGTCATGGCAGCAGTTTTCTGGGATGCTCAAGGCATTTTGCTTGTTGACTTCCTGGAGGGCCGAGGAATGGTAACGTGTGCTGATGTGAGAGTGTTGTGAGAAAGTTAGCCCCAGCCTCAGCCGCAGACCCCCGAGGAAGCTTCACCAGTCTTCCCACACAGTGCTCCTGCTCAACCCTCTCATCAGACGAGGGCCATGTCTGGAGAGTTGCAGTGGGAAATCACCAGGCATCCACCTTATGGTCCTGATCTGGCTCCTTCTGACGTTTTTGTTTCCTAATCTTAAAATCTTTAAAAGGCATCCATTTTTCTTCCGTTAATGATGTAAAAAAGACTGCGTGGACGTGGTTAAGTTCCCAGGACCTTGAGTTCTTTAAGGATGGACTAAATAGCTGATATTGCTTACAGAAGTGTCTTGAACTTGATGCGCCTTACACTGAGAAGTAAAGTTTACATTTTTTATTTTTATACTACGATTCCATTTCTCCACTTTTTTTTTTTTTTTTAAAGATGACCGGTAAGGGGATCCTAACCCTCGACTTGGTGATGTCAGCACCACACTCTCCTGAGTGAGCCACAGGCCGGCCCTCCCACTAACTTTTTGAAGTCCCCCCATGTCTTACAGTTCCGGAGGCTGGGAAGTCCGATATCAAGGTGCTGGCAGATGCAGTTCCCGGTGAAGGCCCGTCTGTGGACAGCTGTGTGCTCACGTGGCCTTTCCTTGGTGGAGAAAGAGGAAGCTCTGGTGTCTCTTCCTCTTTTTATATGGGCATTAATCCCATCGTGGGGACTGCACTCTCATGATTCCTCTAAGCCCAATGAGCTCCCGAAGGCACCACCTCCAAGTGCCATCACTGGTGATTAGGACTTCAATACACGAATTTGGAGGTCCACAGCAGCACCCACTTTTGAAACCAATTTCTAAATTAGCACTTGCTGAGTAACAACCCACCCCAAAACCTAGTGGCTTAAAATGATAGTGTTCCTAAGATCCTTAGGTATTAGTATTCCACTGCAAGAATATTCACAGATTGTGTATCCATTGTACTGTTAGAGGACACTTGGGTTACTTCCAGCCTGGGCTACCTGAATACAGCCGCTGTAAGTTTTCCTTCATTTCTCTTTGCTGTGCACCTATGAGTGGACTTGCTGAGTCGTGGAGTAAATGTGTATTTGGCTCGAGGAGAAACTGAGATTATGGCATTTTTAGTCAAAGAAATATTTTATGTCAGCAAATAGTTATCTTTCCCATTATTGTTTCCCTCCTTGATATGTTTACATAGTTTTTCTCTGCCCAAAATGTGGTAAGTTTTCACCTGTAGATTGTACTTTTTGTACATTGTGTGTTCACGTTTTTATTCAGATAGTTCACCAGTCTGAAAAGGCCTTTTACAATCTGTAGAGACTGTCAGTCCAGAGAATTAGTTCAAAGAGTTTAAGTTGTCCCGTGAGAAGGGGCACTGAAACAGTGAAGTGAGCCAGGTCACAGCCTCAAGCCTCAAAGGACAGAAGCACGTGTGTGTGGGAGGGGATGGGAGGTCGTGCTCAGCGGACCTGAGACCGGGCAGGTAGTGTCCTTACAGCTCTCTAGTGAATTATACTCAGCCACACGAGCATGCAGGCGTGGATGGTGGGACCCACGGTCCTGGAGAGGGGCACCCTGGCACAAGAGTCCCCAGAGCCCTCCTGCCCCCAGCCCCTCACTGGGCTGGGCCCAAACCACACAATGTGGAGAAGGAAGGGGACAAATCTGGCCCTGGGAATTCCTGGGTTTAATTTCCAGGCATGAAGTAGTCCCTCCTCTGTATGGTGAGGGAAGGCCTGCCTTGTCCATCTCTACGAGGACAGACTCAAGGCAGCAGCCAGGCCTGCGTGCATACTGGTGCCCCTCCTGGGGGCGGGCCCCACAGCTGATGCCCTCGCTGCCTCCCCGACCCATGATTTCATTTTTCTACAGATCTTGTGTGTGTCCAAACACAGGAAAACCTCGCTGGGATTGGGTGGGGACAGGAGAGCTTTGGGGTCCCTGGAATCATTCTCGGTTACTGTGATGTGAGACCAGGGTCTCATTGATGGGAATCATCTGGGTCCCGTGACTGGAGAGGAACAGCTGGACTCTGCTGAGTCCTGGGGGAGCAGCTGGCCCCAGCTCATGGCTGGTGGTAGCAACACCCCAGCCACAGTCCCCCATAGCAGGAGCACCTTAGCCCTGGTGGGTCCACAGAGGGCCCTCTCACACATGAACTGGGGTCCTCTGGGCTGAGCAGAGACCTTGCACAGAGAGCCACCTTGCAGGAGCTATAGGGTGGGTGGGAGCCCCAGGGAGAGTGCCAGTGTGAGGAAGCAGATAGCCACAGAGGTGGCCCAGGGGGGCAGAGCACTGGACGGCAGGACAGCAGCTGGACCCAGAGTTGCACAGGAGACAGAGGACAGCCCAAGAGGTACCAGGAGAGCTGGAAGAACACAGGCTGGGAAACCGAGGCAGGAGGACATTATAAGAAGAGCTTGGCATAGCTGCGGTGAGCTGGGAACCACAAAGTGGCTGCTGGGTTGAGTGACGAGGCGGGCACTGGTGGCCTTGCAGAGAGCCTCGGGAGGGGCTGAAGGACTCTGTGAGGAAGCCAGGCCCCCTGTGGAGAGAAGAGAGGCAGGAGGGCCCTAAGGAGACATGGAATCCTCCTCCCCCAGGGCCCCCAGCCTCAGAGCACATGGGAAACGCTTTCCTCTCTCTTCCCGAAGCAGGATTTGGTGTGAGGGCTGGGCTGGGGTGCTGCTGGGATGTGAGGGCTGAGGACATCATGCTAGTAGAGGGGCCACTTCCCAGCACAGGGCTTGGTCATGGCCTTTCTTCTATAAGATGACACAACAAACACTTGTGCAAAACGTTTCATTGTACAAAATTCTCCAATATTGCTTTAATAGTGAAAAAACACAAAAGAAGTTTTAACGGATAAACAGCAGACATAACCATTTAGAATTCAAAGTCTTCGTCTGCCATGGCGAGGGCCCAGGCGAACTTCTCCCTCTGGGTTTTGTTGTAGATCTTCTCCACGGGCACCCTGAACCTCTTACACCTGTGGAGAGGATGGCACGGCCTGAGAAGCCAGCACCTGCCCCTCCAAAGCCAAGGGGCTTGGAAGAGAGTGTTAGCTTCAGCACAGCAGGGAGACCAGAGAGGCCATGCACGGCCTGGACCTGCTCCTCCCAGGCCCCCACCACATGCATGACCCCCATCCTTAGGGTGTCAGGGAGGTAAAGACTGCACCTGCTGTGACGCAGGTGTCCCCCAAATGGGTAAAGGACACCCAGACCTAGTTACCTCCCGTTCACAGATGTGGGCTGAGCACAGCCTTGTGACTCCGTGTCCCAGGCCCCCACCAAGCCCTGCCCTGGCTTCAGGCTGTGTGTCCCAAAGCTCCGGGGAAAAAGGACAGATGACACAGGACTCAGCAGCAGAGACAGATAGGTCACAGGAAGGACCGGATGACGAGGGGCACATGGGACAGGGGCACAGGAGACAGGGCACTGATGGGACAGAAGCAGAGCCTCCTCTCAGGCCCCTCCCAGGCTACACGTGGGAAGGGCAGCCCCAGCCCCACGCACCAGGCGATGCTGATCCTGGGGTCCAGGTAGTTGAGCTTGGACGTGCCCAGGGCCACCTGCTTGTTCTCCTCCTTCTCTGTGGCCTGTGTGTGCAGCCTCACCAGCTGCTCCTCCAGCTTCTCCAGCAGCCGCTGCTTCTTCTCCAGGAAACTGGCAAAAGAAGAGAACTTGAATTGCTGCGCTGAACCATGGAGGGAGGAGCACGTGGGCCGAGCGCCCAGGAAACCTGCACTTCCTGCTGAAGAACCGGGGCTCAGGGTGGGGACAGCCCTAGTCCCCCAATACCCTGTGGTCTAACGCCTCAACACCTCTCTCTCTCTCTCTCACATACACGCACATGCACACACACACCACTATTAAAAACATGCCTATGCATCTCAGGACACTTGTCATGAAGAGAAAATTTTTACCCTTTAAGAACCACAGCCACAGCAATCAAGTGTGAAAGAGGGGACATCACTTCAGGAACAAATATGGGAATACTGTGAATAACTGCACACCAACAAATCAGATAACCTAGATTAAATGGACAAATTCCTAGAAAGACAAACTACCAAAACTGACTCAAGAAGAAACAGAAAATCTGAACAGACCTATAACAAGCAAAGTGACTGAACCAGCAATTTTAAAACTTCTCTGAAAGAAAAACCCAGGCCCAGATGTCTTCACTAGTGTAGAATTAATTCTATCAAACATTTAAAGAAGAATTAACACCAATTCCTCACCAACTTTCACAAAACACTTCCTAACTCATTCTCTGAGGCCACCATTACCCTGATACCAAAACCAAAGACATCATAACAAGAGAAAACTATAGAATAATACCCCCATGAAAATAAATACAAAAAATCCTCAACAAAATACAAGCAAACTGAATCCAGCAATACATAAAAAAGATTACACAACATAACCAAGAAGGATTTATACCAGGAATGCAAGGATGGTTTAACATCCAAAAATTAATTAGCGTAATAACCAAATCAATATTAAGAAAGGACAAAAACCATGATCATCTCAATAGATGCAGAAAAAGGATTTGATAAAATCCAACATCCTTCATGATATAAAACACTCGAAAGTTAGTAATAGAATTGAACCTTGTTAACTCAATGAAGTTTTTTTTTTTTTGGTCTTTTTTCGTGACCGGTAACGGGATCACAACCCTCAGTGTCGCGCCCGCACCGCGACCGGCAACAGATCGAAACCCTCGGTGTCGCGCCCGCACCGCGCTCAACCAGTGAGTGGACTGGTCTCTATATGGGATCCGAACCCTCGGCGGGAGCGCCACTGCACTCCCAAGCGCCGCACTCTACCAAGTGCGCCACCGGGCCAGCCCTCAGTGAAGTTTTTTAACATCTAAAAAACCCACAGTTTACATCAGTAATATTCAGTGGTGAAAGAATTTAAGTTTTGCCCCTAAGATCAGAAACAAGAATATCCGATCATGTCACTTGTGGCCCTCAGTGAAGTTTTTTAACATCTAAAAAACCCACAGTTTACATCAGTAATATTCAGTAGTGAAAGAATTTAAGTTTTGCCCCTAAGATCAGAAACAAGAATATCCGATCATGTCACTTGTACTTAACATTGTACTGGAAGTTCTAGCCAGGGCAATAAGGCAAGAAAAATAAAGAAAAGGCATTCAGATTAGAAAGGAAGAAGTAAAATTATCTCTATTTGCATACAGTATGACCTGGTATACATAAAATCATAAGAAATCCACTAAAAAACAATTAGCACTAATAAATGAGTTTATCAGGGTTGTAGAATACAATATAAATATACAAGCATCAATTGTATTTCTACATATTAGTGTAGAAAAAAGCACAGCAGGGCTGACCATCCCCAGAAAAGCTTACAAGGCGGGCCCTTGGCTGGTATCTGGAACTTGGATTTCAGGAGGGTTCCCACCACTCTAACTCATAAAAGTTTGCTCACTGAAATTAAGAAAACAATTCCATTCACAATAGCATTAAAAAATAAAATACCTCAGAATAAAAATTTAACCAAAAAAAGGGCAAAAACTTTACACTAAAAACTTTGTTGAAAGAAATTAAAAACCTAAGTTGTTCAAAGACATTGTGTTTACAGACTTAACATCATCAAGATGGCAATACTCCTCCAGCCCAGAGTCAATGCAGAATCCCAGCTGGCTTTTTTGCAGAAATTAACAAGTGGATCTTAAAATTCATGTGGAATTTCAAAGGACCCTGAATAGCCAAAACAATCTTTAAAGAGAAAAACACCTCCTAATTGCAAACCGTATAGTTATAAAGACTGAGTGGTCCTGGCATGAGGACAGACACAAATGAATGTGAATAGAATTCAAAGTCCAGAAATAAACCTACACATCTACAATCAACTGATTTTCAGCAAAGGGGCCAAGACCACTCAGTGAGGAAAGAATTCTCTTTTCAGCAAACATACTGAGACTCATCCGGCTACCCACATGCAAAGAATGACGGTGGACCCTACCCTCAGGCTACATACACAAAATTAACTCAAAATAAATCAATGACCTAAATTCAAGAGCTAAAACTATAAACATTTTAGGACAAAACTTCATGACCCTGGGTCAGACAAAGCCTTCTCAGAAACGCCACCAAAAGGGCAAGCAACAAAAGAGATAAAAATAAACTGGACTCATCAAAATTTTACAACGTGGGCCGGCCCGGTGGCGCACTGGAGAGTGCACCGCTTGGGAGTGCGGCGGCGCTCCTGCCGAGGGTTCGGATCCCATGTGGAGACCGGTTCCCGCTCACTGGCTGAGCGAGGTGCGGGCGCAACACTGAGGGTTGCGATCCTGTTGCCGGTCCCCGGTATGGGTGCGACACCGAGGGTTGCGATCCCATTACCGGTCAGTAAAAAAGACAAAAAAAAGGAAAAAAAAAAATTTTACAACGTGCTTCAAAGAACACCAGCAAGAAAGTAAAAAGACAACACTCAGAACAAGAGAAAACAGTTGCAAACCACATTTGATAAGGGATTTGTATCCAGAAAATGAGTTCCTATAACTAAACAATAAAAAGACAAACCACCCAACTGAAAGATGGACAAAGGACTGGAACAGAAATTTCTCCAAAGATACACAAACGGCCAACAAGCACCCAAAAAGATTCTCAACATCGTCAGTCATCAGGGAAATGCAAATCAAAGCCAGAGATGCCCCTTCACACTCACTAGTGTGGGATCAAGAAAAGGGAGGTGACCAAAGGGCTGTGGAGAGATCGGAGCCCTCAGCGTCTGCTGTGGCGACAGGTGTCAGTGCAGCTGCTGTGAGAAATACGGCGCTTTCTTAAGATGTTGAACGTGGAGTTACCAAATGACTCAGCAATTCTACTCTTAGGTATACGCCAAAGGGAAACAAAAACATGCGAAAGACTTATAGACAGGGCTGAGCCCGTGGCGCACTCGGGAGGGTGCGGCGCTGGGAGCGCGGTAGCGTTCCTGCCGCGGGTTTGGATCCTATATAGGGATGACCGGTGCGCTCACAGCGCTCACTGGCTGAGCACGGTGCGGCCGATCTCAAAAAGGACAAAAAAAAAAAAAAGACTTATAGACAGATGTTAACAGCAGTGCCACTCAATAGAGCCAAAAAGTGGAGACAACCCAAATGTCCCGTGTTCGATCCATATGATGAAACGTTATCTGGTCATAAAAGGGAATGAAGTTCTGACACGCGCTAGTACATGGGTGAACGTGGAAGACATCGCGCTCATGGAAGAAGCCAGACACAAAAGACCACACAGTGTATGAGTCCATTTCTCTGGAGAGTCCACAGCAGACAAACGTACAGAGACAGAAAGCACATCACTAGAGGCTGGGGGAAGGCATGGGGAGCGTCTGCTGATGGCTTCAGGGTTTCTTCCTGGGGTAATGGAAATGTTCTAAAATTGATTGTGGTGATAGCTGCACCCCACTGAATATGCTAAAAAAAAAAACCAAAAATAAAAACCCACCGAAATGTATATTTTAAATGGGTGAAATGTGTTATGGGGCCCAGCAGCCCTGAGCCATGTGGCATGCTAACCCCGCGGCTGACGGGCCACAGTGAGGCCAGGGCTTCCCTTTGGATGGCTCTGTTTGTCTCCCCTTTGCCCCAAAATAGTATAGTTTGTACTTTTAAAAGTCACAAAATGGGCCGAGCCCATGGCTCACCCGGGAGAGTGTGGCACTGGAAGCGCAGTGGCGCTCCCGCCGCGGGTTTGGATCCTACATAGGGAAGGCCGGTGCACTCACTGGCTGAGTACGGTGCAGGCGACACCAAGCCAAGGGTTGCAATCCCCTTACCGGTCACAAAAAAAAAAAAGACAAAAAATAAAAATAAAAAAAAATAAAAGTCACAAAATGGGCGGAGCCCATGGCTCACCCGGGAGAGTGTGGCACTGGAAGCGCAGTGGCGCTCCCGCCGCGGGTTTGGATCCTACATAGGGAAGGCCGGTGCACTCACTGGCTGAGTACGGTGCAGGCGACACCAAGCCAAGGGTTGCAATCCCCTTACCGGTCACAAAAAAAAAAAAGACAAAAAATAAAAATAAAAAAAAATAAAAGTCACAAAATGACAACTGAAAACAAAAACAAGGGAAAGCTAAGTCCAGGACTACCATGCCCAAATCCAGACAGGGAGGTCCCTGGACACTCACCTTCTGGACGTGCCGTCCCCCTTGGTTTTGAAGTCAGCCGTCGCCTTCTTCAGCTCCACCTTGGCCTCGGCCACCTGCTCCTTCTTCATCTCGATCTGCAAAGGGAAAGGGGCCCAGGCAGGACTGCTCCTGTCCCCCCCTGTTCCCGCCCCCAGGACTACCCTGGGAGAAGGCCCTGCTGAGGAGCACAGCTGAGCCAGCCCTGACCTGGTCTGTGACTAAACAGCAGAATACAGCCAAGAGGGCTCCAGGCCCAAAGATGCCACCTGCTGTAGCTGCTGAACCTGAAGCACCCCCTGCCCAGGGCCCCTGCCCCACTGACTCCTTCCTGGACCAGAACACACAGACTGGGTCCCGCCAGGAAGACCAGGGGCAGCCCTGACTCACCCGGCCCCACCCCCACGACTGCACCCTCACGTCCACCCATAGGGGGCTCACCCAGCCTGTGAGTGAGCACCAGGGGAGCAGTGGAGGAAGAGGAGCCACGCGAGCCTGGCCCAGCTCCCATGAGGGGCTCCCCGCAGAAAGCCGTCAATGTCTGCTGCATACCTTCGCCTGCAGATTCTTCATCGACTTCTCAAAGGTCTTGGGAGTTGCTCGCTGATGGTTGCAGAGAATGGCCACGGCCCGGTTGGCCCGACTGTAGGACAAGATCTTCGCAGCCGTGCTGTCTTCAGCTGAACAGAGACACTCCGTGAGCAGCAGCCGCTGAGGACAGCTGTCCCACTGTACCCGCTCTGAGCGGCCTTACTCGACCAGCACCACACAGAGCCCTTCCACTCACACAGCTCCTCATGGGATGGAGACCAGGGCTCAGGGGTCAATGACCCGTCCAAGGCAGCCCCACAGACCGCGGCCAAGCAGGCAGAACCACAGTAACAGCGCCACGGCAGATGTACCAGGCAGGTGCCCAAGAGCCACACAAGGGGCTGGCAAGAGGCCCAGGGGGCACTTCCATCCTGCAGGCAATACTACAGGGCCAGCTTGGGCCCCCCAGGCTCCCAGAGTCAGAGCAGGCACAGGCTCGGGGGTCCTCCCCAGTCAGCAGCCTCCATACAACACAGAGATCTGTTTCCAGGACAGTGTGCAGTGTCCGGCCTCAGTGGACAATGTCCCAACAAGGTACTGTCATTATTCCCACTGTCCACTCATGAGACTACGGCTCGGGGTTTTTAAGTACTGGCCTGAGCCACCGTGCAAGCAGCCCAACATCCTCCTGCCACTGCCTCCACACCCCTCCTGCACCTGCTGAGTCCCACGTCCCAATGCTTCCACATCAGGGCCCATCTGTCCTAGGCCTGCCTCAGGTGGCCTCACCAGGTTGTTCTGGACAACCCCAGGATCTCCCTGGTTTCTTCTGCAAGGTGCTCCCCACGTGGTCTCCTCTGCGTCCCCACCTCCAAGCCCGTCTCTTTGGCACCTGCCCCAACACTGCCCTAGCTCCCTGACACCATGCTCAGAGCTACACAGGCCCCTCTAGCTTGGGATGGGGGCACACAGGCTTGGATTCGGCAGCACAGGGTCCACACTACAGCCTGACCAGACCCCAATGGGCACCAGGTTTCAGGCCTCCTGAGGAAGCCCTGCTTGGGGGCCTGGGTAGGCGGGGGCACAGGCCATGGGTCCCGGTCAGGGCTGAGCACAGGAAGCAGCATGGATGGGGCCAGGAGGGCATTATGGGCACATCCCACCCCCGTCACATCTGACTGGAGGAGGGCAGCCGAGGGTTGCTGAGGGTTGGCTTGGAGGTGCCCTCTGCCAGAGATCTGTGTGTCCCCTCTGCTCCCTAAAGTCACCAGGTGGATGCACTGTCAAGGGCAGAGGGAGGAAAACCCCCCAAAAAGCCTGAAGAGCATCCCCAGGGGCATGGCAGAGAGGCAGGAACGGAGAGGCCCAGAGGCCGAGGAGGGGGAGAACGTTCAAGCACTCGAGGGGAGAGAGCAGAGGGCTGAGAGGTGCCTTCGAGAACTGATCAGAGGAGCAGAGACCGAGGCCAGGACCGGGCGAGAAGGGAGCTGCATGGGGGACCGGCCCTGCAGGGAACACACAACTGGGGATGTCCGGGGCCCACAAGCAGATGGGCTCCTTTCCGTGCTGGGAGCCAGCGCCTCCCTCCTCCTCTGCTGGACTCCGGCCACACAGCACCCTTCCACCAATGGCACAACCCTGCGTCAGCCCACCACGCATGTCCCCAGAACAGGGTCCTGCACCTGCCAAGGCTCAATCGTCAGGCAGCTCCTGCCTGAGAGCCCTGCCTGGGGCAGTGGGCACACTGGCCACTGCTCAGTGTGTGGGTGTGGGGACATGGTCAGTACGGGGGGACGTGGTCCACAGTCTGCACTGGGGGTGGGGCCTACTCACCGCTGGTCAGCTCCCGCAGCTGCTCCTGCAGAGTGATGGAGGCGTTGTAGGTCCGGAACACCTTGGCCGTCAGCCCGCACATGAGGTCCTGCAGGTGCTTGTTGAGGGTGGCTGTCTGAGCACAGTAGAAGGAAACAGGTCTCTATGAATGTGGTCCCTGGGGAGAGCAGTTTCACTGTGCCATCCCAGCCTCCGGAAGGACAGAGGGCAGGGGATTTAGGCAGGCGGGGCAGAACAAAGACAGCCCCGGGCCTTCTCTAAAGAGCACGGTGAGTTCGGCTCACGCTCTCCAGGCCCGCGTCAAGACGGCTTTTGGAAATAGAAACAGACTTACGGTCAGTCTGTCAAAAAGGTCGTCCCCAGGGTCCTTGTTCTCCATGAACAGCTGTAAATTCTTGTACACCTGAAAGAAAGAATCTCAACCCTAGAGCTTTGCTCAGACAAGATTCATAAGATGAAGGCAAACAGGAGAGAGAAGCAGCCTCTTGTGAGACAGAGAACACAGGAGCTAAAGGAGGGGCTGAAAGGGCATCTGCACATCCAACTCGCCGCCTGCAGGAGCCCCGGGTGTCATCAGGGGGGTGAACCCAGTGCAGCCACCTCCTCGTTCACAGTTGACCCCTGAACTCCTCACATTTCCCGCAGGAGAGCACAGAGGGGAAAGGGCTCTGCTGCACGCTGGCTGAGCTGCAGAGCACGCGGGCGCTCCAGCAGGCGGGGCTCAGCAAGCAGGCTGCACGCTCCGCCACGCCTCTCCCCAGCTCGGAAGAGAGCACCCAGAGTTAGCACACCCCACGAGGACAGGGACAGGGCAGCCAGACCCGAGGCCACCGCGCGCCGGCACTCACAGGCTTCTCCACGGGCACCCTGTTGTAGTAGCGAATGGAGTCCTTGCCCAGGAAATCCAGCTCCACGACGTGCTTGCAGCCGCCGGCCTCCGGGTGCAGCCGGACGTGCTCCACACGCAGTGAGCAGCAGCCCACTGTGTCCGCCGTCTCGCCACCCTCCTTCTCGTTCCCAGCTCTCAGCGCCAGCTGGCCAGGGCGGAAACCTGTCAGGGCGTGCAGGGCGCACACGCACACCTGTGCACATGCACACCCCTCTCCCAGGCACAGCCACCGTCCCTGCACCAACGCCACCAGCAGGCCTTGGTTCTGGGACCACCGTGATGAGTGGCAGCCGAGGGTGACTTGAAACCGTGGCCCACACCTTGTCAATGAAGTAAAGGGCCACCGCCTGCTGCCGCCTCTTCATTTCCTGCGATTTCCAGTCAGCCCGATACTGAGAGCGGATCTCTTCGACAACACCTTTCAAGCGTCGAGCTGTTTCATACTTTTGCCAATCTTTCTCCCCCTAAATAAAGAAAATAAGCAGTAAAGGAAACTCTTCGCAGTCCTGTGGAATAGAGGAGGAAGCCATCCACTCCCCACCACGCATCTACGCTCCCGGCGCGGTTGGGTCAGGGGCTGTGGCAGCAAGGCCCAGCCTCAGTGAAATCTGAACTAGTTGTGAATGTCTCTTCCTGATTTTAAGAATGTGTGGCCACTGGGCACCACACGACTCGAGCAGCAGCTGCAGGGGCCCACGGGCTTCTCCTCCCGCCACTCTCGCGTCTGCTTTGCACTTCTGAGCTGCCTCTGGGCTCTTGCAATGCGGGTCCCAGCCGCACCTTCAGCTTTGAGCTCGGGTTCAGCATGATGTATTTGATGGAGTTCTGGACGTTCTCCGTCCACGCTGCAAGCCACGTGACGGTGTTGTCCGAGCGCACCTCTCTCCACTGGTGGCCTGCTGGGGGCTCGGGGATCTTTGAGTCCCTGCAGCAAAACATAATCTCAAGACCTTGTGCTCTGAAATATGAGCACAATGAGCATCACTGCATGACTGTGACTGTCCCATACGGTGGCCCATGGTGGGCTCCTGGCCAAGTCTGGCTTCAGGAGTGGCCTGCCAGACTGCCCAGACCAAAGCAGCTACCCAGCCCACCTCCCATATACACGAAGATCAAGGTGGGACCAAATGCTGAGGGCCACCCTGGCAAGGCTGACTGCTCGTGTGAGCCTTGCAGGTCTGACCTGTAGGCTCCTGCTGCCCGAGTCCCCAGGGCTGCTGGCACCTGGCACACTGGTCACATGACGCAGGATTACTCAGCACCACCAAACCTTTCCATGCCCCACTGCTCACAACTTTCTGCTAATAAGTTCAAAGCAATGACGTGCTACTAGACTGACCAATCCAGAATATTCTGAAAAAACATGTTTAAAACATGCAGGAAACTTTCTTGGTTGGGAAACGTGTCACGTGACCAGCATTTCTGATCTGTGCAGAGAGGTGTCCCATAAGCTGTGTCCCTGCTCCTCTCGGGGCCAGGTGCTGCCAGCTGCACATTTTGGACATGCCTCACTCTCCCAGGAGGTGCTGAAGCCCAAAGACAACCCTGCCTGGCAGTCAGTCCTAGCCCACCGTCCCCATACCTGCTGCAATTGATGACCACATCCTCAGGCATGACCCTCCTCTTCAACATCCCCATCTTGGGGTGGTCGCCGCGGCCACGGAACAGCCCGGGCGGCTCGGTCTTGAAATTGCCTATTTTTTCTCGGTGCCCATCTAAAATACAGTAGCCAAACTCTTGCTGAAGTTTTTCTGCCTCTTCTTTTAGCTTCTGAGTTGAGGAGAAGGCACGTGGACAGCAGCATGGAGAGAAGAGAACACGCATAAGTCCCCACGGCTTGCCCAGGGGCATGCCCCACCTCGGCTGATGGGGCTGGAGCAGCGCAGGCCTGCAGGGGACATCATGGTAGCCCCACTTGTAGGAGGAAAACTAAGGCGGGTTGGGTTGTAGAATAAGCCCTACCCCCTGTAACTGCCGGCTGAGGAGAGGGATCCATCACCCTTCCCCAGGCCCTGAGAAGCAGACGCTCAAGCAGCGGCAGCATGGCAGCCTGGTGGCTTCTGCTGCGCTCAGGCAAAGGAACAACCCAAACTAAAGTGAGGCCCTGCTGCGTCTCCCACGTCCTGCCCCCGGCCCACACGCCCACCCACGGGTCCACTGGCATCACTGATGGTAGCTCATATGTCCCCTCTCTCCAATGGTGGACTTACTTTCCAATGCACTCTGGGTAAACTGAACTACATTTTAAACCGACTTAAAGGCATGTAACTTGAGCATGTCTGAGCACTTGAGGCAGCAGCTCCCCGGGCCTTAGCCACCATCTGAGGACCCCCCGTACAAAAGCCCATGAGGAGGGGCTTTGTGAGGAGGGGCTTTGTGAGGAGGGGCTTTGTGAGGAGGGGCTTTGTGAGGAGGGACTCTTCTAGGTCGAAGAACGGGGTTGCTGGCCCAGGCTGTAGGCCACTGGGATAGGGCACAGGTGCACACAGCAGCCTGACCTGTCTCTCCTGCCAGGGCAGGGCCTTGCGGGCTGCAGCTTTGTCCACAAAGTATCTGTGGATCTCCGTGAAGTCACACTTGTCCAGATGCTTGATGACCTCTCTCTCTTCTACTGTCATTTCCTGCACCAAAACCAGAGACACACGTGCTCTCATCACAGCTAATGCCACACAGCGTGGATGTCCCTCCAAGCTGGGGCCCTTCCACAGGGACAACATGACACCCTGGAAGCAGGCAGAACAGGCTCTGGGTAGAGTGCCATGGCCACCTGCCTCCACCAGCCCCCAGCAGCCATCGGGCCAAGAGTGGCCCAGATGGGCAGGACGGTGGTGCGCGAGGCCTGAGGACCCTGTGTGGATGGTGGATGTGCAAGCACGGGGCTCAGGACCAGTGGCTACTGCTCAGAGAAGAGTGGTCGTCCCAGCACAGCCCCTCAGGACCAAGGCCCCAGACACACCTAGTCTGAGCGCCCCTCTCATCCTTGACATCCCAAATGCCACCCTGCATGGCACCAACAACCACACCCCTCCTCGGGTGAGGGCCCCTGTGCCCCATGCCATGCTCCAGGTGCAACAGACCAGTGAGAAGCAATGCCCACTCCCCACTAGGAGAGCCTGCCCCCTGCCCCCAGAACGCCCACCAGTACAGCCCACCTCCCTCCCATAGGCCCCCCCAAATAGAGCCCGCCTTCCACCCACAGACCCACCCACTAGAAAGCCCACCTCCCGCCCACAGATACTCCACCAGTAGAGCCCGCCTCCCACCCAGGGACCCCCAAACTAGGACAGCCTGCCTCCTGCCCACACCTCCCCACCAGGAGAGCCCACCTCCCATCCAGAGACCCCCCACTAGGACAACCCCCTCCCAGCCACAGACCCCCACCAGTACAGCCCACATCCCACCGTCTCCCCCTCCCCTTTGTGAATGCAGGGGTGGGGCAGGGCATCCGAGGGCACCACTCTCCAAAAGCAATTTCACATTTCAATAATAAAAACGGCTAAAACCTTTGATCCAATAATTCCATTTTTGAGATCCTATCCTAAATAAGTTACCCACTATTAGTGCGATGATGATAATTAACACCATTGGGGACAGTTGGAGATAGGACAAGTAACCCAGAAAGAGCTAAATAAATTACAATGAATTCATTCAGTACAACATTAAGAAACTCACCAAGAAACTTGTCTTAGCCTGTGTGTGTTGCTATAACAAAATACCTGAAACGGGGTAATTTATAAGTAATAGAAATTTCTCACAGATCTGGAGACTGGGAAGTCTAAGATCGAGGTACCAGCGTTTGGTGTCTGGTGAAGTCCCAGTCTCTGCTTCCAGAGTGGCGCCTTGAAGGCGTGTCCTTGCACGGGGGAGGAATGGAGGCCGGCGCTAGCTCATCTCCTCCAGCCCCGGCACAAGGCATCAATCGCACCCGTGAGGACGCAGTCTCTTACTGCTGCTGCACTGGCGACTAAGTTTCAACATGAATTTTGGATGCAAACATTCGAAGCACAGCAGAAAACAGTATGATGATTACACAGGAAAAAGGAAAAATAAAAATTATAAAATGGTAACTGGGAAAAAAAACACATTATACACATACTGATCACAACTGTGCAGAAACTAACACCCATGAAAGCCAGAGTTTGGAACGTGAGACCCTGACACGAGGGGAGAAAGGCAGGACCACAGGACACAACCAAGAGCCCGCGAAGAGGGGAGTGGATGACTGAAAGCGCACGGTCACCACTGCCAGCAGCACCAGGAGGAAGCCACCAGGCAAGAGCCAGGGACACAGCCACAGATATCACGCCGACGGGGACCCCAGGAAAGCAACTAGGAGTCAAGCGGGTGTGGACGCAAAGACTAGTCCAGACTCACATGTAACTCAAGTTTTAAAACTGAGAAAAGAAAAAATCTTAATGTAGCACCCTCATCTTCAAAGAGCTTCCCACCAAATGTGTTTTCCTGGGGTCAGAAAAGGCCACCTTGGGCCCCTGCACTCCCGGCTTCTGAGAGCCCTGCCACTGTCCTTCCAGCTGGGCTCCCCTCCCTCTGCCCGCCTCTCCACCTCCCCTGAGGGAAGCCACCAGGCAGAGATGTCTAGAGAGCTCCAGGCCATGCTGAGAAAGCAAGGGGGCCACTGAGAACAGGAGAGGCCACGCAGACATAGCAGCCTAGTCACACAGCACAGGACAGCTGCTGTGGCCACCCAGGGAGACATACCTTTCGCCAATCGCTGAAGAAGTTATTTTGGAAAACTTCCTTTGTTGTATATTCATGATCCAACATTTTCCCATAAAAAGTGGCAACCTCTTCAGCTGCCAAGCTCAACTTCATGGGCTTTCCTGCAGACATGAGAAGACACACTGCTTCAGGGAACAGCCACAGGCTCACCCTCCAGCTGACACAAGCCTGTGACCTTAAATTACACTCCGGGGTACGCGGCCGGTCCTCTCCAGACCTGTGGGCTCTGCATCCGCACACTCAACCAACCACGGAGCGAATATGTTCAAGAAAAGGAACAATAGGATAAAAAATATTATAAATTAAAAAACATTATAACGACTATTTATGTAACATTCACACTACTGGGTATCATAAGTAATGCAGATGTGACTTAAAGTATACTGGAGAATGCATGTAGGTTCCATTCCATGCAGATTATTACCCATCTTATGAAAGGGGCTTGAGCATCCACAGGTTTTGGATCCATCAGGGGTGCTGGAATTAATCCCCCGTAGATACTGAGGGACGACTGTATTATGGTAAGAGCAAGGTGCTAGGTTTTTGTTTTTTAAATTCAGAAGCACACTCTAAATTGAGATCGATTACAGCGGCTGTGTGGAGGCGGCCGAGCGACTCAGGAGGTCGAGGATGTGGCAGGGCTCCTGCGGCTGCCGCCCTCACCTCCTCCCTCTGTCCACGCTTTATTTTGCTACTACATTTGTATTACAGGGCAATGCAACGTATGCGATTTTAACACACGAATTTCTACAATTACAAAAGCAAAATAAAAGTTAAAGCTTCAAAGGAGAAAGATGCAAATAACTTAAGGTGTAACCTTTAAAAACCTTCAACTCTTTGCTCAGCTCTTTCCTACGTGTTACGCTAAAATCAGCATGATTGAAGAGACGGCCGAGGGCCAAGTGGGAGGCCCAGCAGGCGGCGTACAGCGCTAACAGGGGCGTGTGAGTGTTCACCACGAAATTACTTCAACTGTATGTCTGAAAGTTTTTCATAATAAAATGTTGGAAAGATGCATGTGAATTAGTTAATGAGAAAAAGGCATTCGTGCTAAACAGCAGCAATCCTTCCCCAAACCAGCTTCTCAGAGGGACAGAGGCCACAACGTGGGCAGCACAGGCTGAGGTTCAGCTCCCGCACCAGCATGCCTCTTGCCTGGTGTCACCTGCACCACGCTTCTCCCCCCAGGACCATCCACGTGGCCTGCGCCGGCCGCCTGCCCAAGCACTGTCAAGGCCCTGAGGGCCCCTGCAGCAGCTCTTTCTTCAGGAGCCACACAGCGTGGGCAGGCCTAAAAGCCCAGCAAGAAGTCTGTCCTCCAGGAACATACAGTCGAGCTCAAAGAAACAAGTTTTGAAACAAAAACTACATCAAGGGAGTTCAGCAACGTGAGTGTGAGCGTGACCCCTCCATGGCCATGGAGGCCAATGGAGGCCTGCACGTGTCTGCATGTTTCCACATGTGCCTGTGAGTTTGTGTGTGCTGGCATGCGAGTGCACACAAGCACTGCTAATGGCATGGCCTGACCCTGGAGGAGAAGAGGTTTGCTTTTTTCAGAAGGATCCCTCCAGCAGAAACAAAGAACAGGTAAAATTAGCAGCACAAGAACCAGGCAGACACTCCCGGGCACTGAGATGGGAGGATGAGGCGGCTGCGAGGGCCAGGGGCCTGATTCTGGAGGCCGCTCAGTGCTCACTTCAACTACTGGTTCAGCATCTCGTTAAGACATGCAAACTGCGACCAGGTAACCATTCTGTGCATGTGTGTGCATACATGTGACACATGCACCACGTACACTCGAAATGCCATGGGAAGAGAGAGACTTGACCCCTCACCCGGAGGTGTGTCCTGGCTATGAACATGCCCAACTAACACAAACCCAAGAACACCTTGTGCGGGGCACAGCAGGAAGGCAGGGTGACAGGAGCCACCAGACACGGGCTCACCCCACCCAGCGGGGCAAGCGTAAGGACAAGCTTTACACAGCCTGAAGGAACAGAGGCTTCTGTGGAGACATCAGGCGGACTCCTGCACTGCTACTGCCCTCTGTGCCACCTGGGTCAGTCAACCAGAAGCCTTCAAATCCCAGACCAGGGAGGTGGCCTCTGCACACAGACCATTCATGCCCAATAATGAGCGTGGCAGCCATGCTCTGAGGACACCAGGAAGAAGCAGTATCCCAGACACCAATGGGGGGCGCCCACACCCAGGGGTGAAGACGGAAGAGCTCCTGGACACAGGTCACCAGCCCACAGCGAGGAGAGCCCTTGCGTCCTCACCGTCATAGAAGAAATGCACCCCATCGGGAAGAGGCTCGTACGGGGGAGCGAAATAGGGGCCCTTGTGCTCCAGCTGGGTCCACTTCACGTCTTGGCTCTTCTCCTCCTCCCACCTGGAAAAACAGGAGACGAGAATGTGTCACTCTCACAACACTGCATGATACCATGTGCCAGGCCTGAGCTGAGTCCTTCCTGCCTTCTCCCTCACTGCCCCCTCCCCAAAGCTCCACACAGGTGAGCACTGTGGCCACCACCTTAGAGAGGAGGAAAACAAGACTGGCTTGAAGAGCAAGGTGAAGAGAAGGCAGGCAGGTGGCCATCCTGCCAGGGCGTGTGCCCACCAGGACTGAACCTGCTGACCTCAACACCAGCGCCATGCACCTGGCCCACCTCCCCACCTGAACTGCCATGTGTACTGCCAGTCACCACCTCGGGGTCCAGGGGAGCCAGCTAAGTGGGAAAGGGCCATGAAATGGGCCTCTCCCAGGCTGTGCCTCTTCAGCGTTGGCCTAGAATCCTTCAGGAGGTGGTGACAGGGTCCCACAGGACCCCTCCATGCTAAACAGAAAGCCTGTCTACGCTGGAGAAGCTCAGCGAGGGAGGACAGGTGGCCTGTGGGAAGAGGGGATGGCACGACAGCAGGGTACTGGGCACATCCCACAGAGGAGCTGGGCACATGGTAAAAGTCTGGGGCAGGGGACGGAGTGGCGAGCATGAGGTTCTCAAGGAGAGCTAATTGTGGGTGTGGCTCTCTGCTGAGGTCCCCGCCCCATCTGCCCCCAATCTTCCTGAGACAGCATGTCATCCCCAGGGCATCCCCTCCCAGGTCTGAACTCTCATCTGTTCCCAGCCTCAGTCTCCCGGAGGCCTGCCCTGGGCCCATCAGCACACCCCGCCCCCCAGCTGTCCCAGCTCCCAGAGACAGACAGGGCATTTCTGCTACACTGCCTGAGGCTAAACGGATTTACTAACAGCACGTGAAAACACTGGGTTAGCAACAATCGATAACTGGAGAGAACTGGCCAGCGGGAACTCCTACAGGACTTCCATGCATGGGAGGCTGTACACCCTCTGGACTCTTAGGAAACGGTCGACCTCTCATGCACAGACCCCCCACTCTTCTGTGGCTATCCCAACCCTGTACCTGCCACAGGGCTTCTTCCACAAGCCCCCAGGAAGGTGCTTGGGAGCACTGATGGCCCCTCAGGTGAGGCTGGCTCCTAGTGCGCGACCAGTGACACTGAGTGCCCTGCATCCAACCAGGGGAACGGAAGCCGGTCTACAGACCACACACAGCAACGCCAGCTTTTCATAAAGTTCAAAACCAGACACTGCAGCGTGGAGGTCCAGGCACAGCCGCGCAAATGAAACTTACCCCCAAATGCGGGAGGCTACCCCCGAGGGAGAGCACCCGGAGGCCGCTCACACACGTGCGCGCATGTCACCGGCACCGCCCGCCCGGCTCCACGGAAGGACCAAGGACCGAGGCCGCGCACGGCGTCCCGGGGCCCAGCCCCTCCAATCCCGGCCTTCCTGCCGCCCCTCGCGCTCCCCGCGCCTTACCGGGCTCGCAGGGTCGGGGCGCCCCGGGGTC